AGAGAGAGAGAGAGAGAGAGAGAGAGAGAGAGAGAGAGAGAGAGAGAGAGACTGAACTTGGCAATACACAAGAAACAAATGAGACTCATTTATCAATTTTCAAATTTAAACACACACACAGATTTCATATGGTGTGGCACATGTTACCTCTCTTTGCTTCTCTTCATAAAACTCATTAAGCCTCTGGAAGAATATCTATTTTGCCGAGGCTCATAAATTCTCCATCTCTACTCTATTCATGTGTTGTATGTGAGCTTCTCTCTGAACTTCCATTAATAGCTTCTCTCCAAACCTCCATTACTCCAAGACTTCAGGACGCTTCTCAATCTCTCTCTCTTCTCTATAAACCTTCATAAATCCAAGGAAGGCCTTAGGACACCTACCCCTCTCCATGTGTGTGTGTGTGCGTTCGTCATAAACCAAATCAGGAACAAATGTCACCCAACTATACACTTCCGAGTCTTGGTTTCTACTTCCCCTTTCTTCATTTTAGAAGAAAATATGCTGTAGCCTTTTGGAGTGAAGTTTATTGGATTGCACATTCATGTGAATATGTGTAGCTGTAGCCTTCATATATATTCGAGGACTGTGAATTTTGAAAACAATCAAGCTTATCAAGAAGAAGAAGAGGAAAATAAAAAGACTATGTCAAAGAGCTTCTAAAAGTTGGGGTTCAAGTGCATAATTCAATTGACAGGCATCGGACATTGAAACCTGTAGTGCTTCAAACCCAGAGAGCTATGTTAAGACCTGTGCATGCACACACACAGAGGAGAGGCTCCTTTTCACAAGTGGTGGAGGAAAGGGATCTTTGCTCAGATGTTAATTTGAGCTACATTTGACATATGTAAATCCCGGTTGAAATTCGATATGCGAACATACCAGGAAATGGTCGTTGGACCAATGAAACAAATGGGCAAGCATAACTAATAATTGATCTTCCGCAAGAACAGAGTCACAAATGTGCAGATGCACTCCAAGGCTTAAAAAGAAACCATATCTGATGTTGGGGAGGAGACTGCGTTTGAAGAATAAGGAGAACAAAGCATTCAAACAAAAAGCAAAAGAGCTCTATGAAGAGAAGCAAAGAGAGAGAACCTAATCCACCCGATATAAAGGAGAGAGAGAGAGATTTCATATGGTGTAGTACACGTTACCTCTATCTGCTTCTCTTTATAAAGCTCATTTGCACTCAGTATGAGTATCGTATTTTGCTCATTTTTCAAACTCAATTTCTTTCGTATCAAATATAGTATACTCTAAAGCATTGGACTGCATTTACATTGTGGTAACAACGCTCTCCTAGAAAGCAATGTTGGTTATCTTAACACGTTTATTTTATGGGCCTAATGATTGTTTCTTGGTATGACAACATATTGAATTTCAATAGGGATTTACTAAGCTAAAGGCTGCAAAAATCTGCTATAGAGCCAAAAAAATGAAAAAGAGACGGACAAAAATATAACCTTTTTCACCAACATGTAAGAAGGAACCTCTATATGCATGTTTGAACATACTTCTATGCGTTTGAACCCCCGACTTAAAGGTTGCAATATCAACTACCAGTTGAGCTTTGTATTCATAGTTCTCAAACAAGTTTTGAACACAAAGGCCACACTAATCCCATGAAAACTGTAATTGAAAAGATGGTGGAAAACAATAGCAGGACCCCCTTTATAAGGGGGCATGACTACAATGGCATCACTAACTCCATCTCCCATCATGGTTATAATTCAATGGATGCCGATGACCCAATGAACCGTGGTCTTCATTGTCTACTGGATTAGATTAGGCTTGTCCAATTAAAAAACCAGTAATTACTAATGCTTCTAAACAAGAATATTTGGCAAAGTTTCGTGTTAGTGCCTTTTGTTAATAAAAGCAACAAAGGAAACATGCATATATATAACAAGAACAGCAGAGAGAGAACAAACCACGGGACTGGCAGTTAAAGATATCCACATCTTCTCTTGTGGCCAAATAAACATACAACGAACACTTTCCACCAGGATGAAAGAAAAAGCGGCGTCCGTCCCATCCATCCGTATCTTGTGCCTAAGCTGGGCATCCAAATAACCAATGGCTGAACCTTCAAGTACAAGAACACTTAATGCACATTGGCCTTGAGGACCATATGTATGCTTAGCCTTTGAGGGCTTGTATGATTTGAAATACTCAACAAGCTCAGCAGTCCCCATTCCAATCCACTAAAAGACAGAAAAAAAGCATAAAATACAAAGAACATAAGTCATTATGTTATAATCCACGCAAATAAGCCAATGAAACATGGATGAATAAAGTAACTATGTGAAGAGCCATAGGACATCAACCTCTTGGGTAGGAAAATAAAATGAAACATATATTGAAAATACTCAATGTCAATACAAAAAGAAAACACTGGGAGGGTATATGCCATGGAATATGATCGACTACATCAACAACAATTAAGAAATACATCTGAGTAATATCAAGCACTAACTACTAAAGGCTTGAAGTATATTCTAATCAGAAACAACAAAATATTTTTTAAGAGGAAACCCGGAATATGAGAAGAAAAATCCTTATAAAGGCAAACTCCATTACATTTTGATGTCAGCTTATTGCCTTTTTCCAACATGCTTTTCGATTCTTCCTGAATTATATTTGTGAAACAGACCTACATGTAGATGTATGAATTTCCAAATGAATACTTCCACCTTTAGTTTACAGTGACAGCTCAACAGCCATTACCAAAAATGTGCTCTCTTCATTTCAAAATCACATGCAAGGTAGAGACACATGATAAAGTTTGGAAAAAACAAAGACTTGAAGTTCAGTAAACGGTTAGCAAGGAATCATGGAAAGGGCCAACAAACACAGCATAACCCAAGGAAACACAACTCCTCAAGCCTCGTAATCACACACCAAGAATAGACCAACGTTATCAGATTCGCATCTGAGGCCTCTTCGTATTGGACCAAAAACGGAAAGCCCTTAGGTGCTCTAGCAGAAATTTATGAAATTAGCTTTTAAAAATTTATCACTTTAGTAACAAAAATATTTATGAAATTAGGTTTTTAAAAATTAATACTTGTACTCCCAACATTTTTATTTTAAATATTAACTTTTTATTCATTTAGATAGAGAGTGTGGTTTTATCCCAAATGGCTACCGTCTGTTCTCTCTAAATATAGAAAACGTTCTTTTTTGTCTCTAAATAAAGTTACTGTAAATGTCACAATTATTGCAATCAATATTTTAAAGGAAAGTACATGACTTTTATTGTACTGTGCTATAATGAGGGTCAAAATTTCCACAATTTGTGTTCATCATCCATATGTATTACATTTACTACAGCAACTACAGCATGTGTTATGTTCAATATAACATACAAAACTTTCAAAATTTTTCCTAGAAGCTGAAGGGGTGAATCAAAATTTTCAGTTGCTTTGTGCTTTGCTTCATGTGACTGGCTGGACATGAAGAATTCGGGCAATTCGCTTGAAATTAAGCGAAGTTATCAACATTGCGATACATAATATAAATCAAGATAACAGCAGAATGTATAATCTTGAAGGTAAAGGAAAAGGTTACAAGTGATATCAACAAGGGAAAGAAGTAGAGATTTCTTGAGAATGCTAGAAAGCAGGATAAATGAGGTAGGCCACCAGGGCACAAGATTACAGACTGATAAACATAAAAACCTAGGAAGAAGGCTACATAGAACAGGAAAAACAGGAAGTTCTAATAAGCATGGAAACCATCCAATTAACTGAAAAAGCGTGTAAAATATACAAATAGAAGATCATAGAAATATATCAACCTGTATGAACTTTGCCAAAGCACTTGAAAGACGGATAAGTTTTATTTATATGCTTAAAGCAGTCGCATATGGAATATATCTACTAGATAAGAAATGGTATCTCTAACAAAGTGCCTAAAACAACAAACTTTTTATGAGGGGATAGTAGAGTATTTTCTTTTTTTTTCTAGGGAATAAAATACAGTAAAAGTTCAGGTGACTCTTGAGAACGATAGACCATAAACCATCTAATGAAACAATGTGCAGTCATGGGGAGAAAGTGGGGTGGGACCAACCATCAAGCCCCTCCCCTGCTATGGTGGTTCCACGCTCTCCATCAACATCCAGCAGTTTAATGGAGGGTGACGATGCAATTCACTGTCGTATTTCCATTTCCAATCGGATTGTAGTATTCGTGTCCCTTCTGATAAAGCTGTAATAACAATGTGATGGAAGAATATCATGTCATAATTTTTGGGATGTACGTTTATTTATGGATATGGGTTAATTCGGGATTAGAACATATTAAGGTTGGTTTCAAATTATTGTTAAAGGGCAATTCAAGAAAATAATTAAGCTCGGTGTTTCTTTGTTAAAGGTAGTCTTGTTATGTACTTTAACTTTTCGGTTTCGATTTAAATAGGAGGGTAAGTAGGATTCCTAAATTGGTAGGATTGGATGAGGTGGTACAACAGGGCTGGGAAGAGAAAAGAAGTTGTGGGGCCCAAGAAAGTAGGGATTGGGTAGAGGGTATATTAGAGAGATAATATTTCCTCGATTTGTGGATGTGGAGAAGAGGGGCATGTAGGAATAGTAAAGAAGATTTTTTTAATTCATCTCTTTTTTTGTTTTTTATTTATATATAAAAGAAGAAATGTTGCCTCACATGGGGGGTCTTTGAAATACTTTCAGCCTTTAATTTAATAGGTCAAAAAAGGTATGCTGCCTTAAAGAAAGCTTGCATACCTAATTGGTTCTCTCTTGTTTCCTACTTGATGTGAGGTGTTTTGGTGGCTGAAATTTTCTTCTTTCTACTCTATATTCCATAGTTGTAAGGTGCGGTGCGTTCCCGGGAGCGGGAGCTAGCTCGGGTCCACAACACCGTGGATTGCTAGAAGTTCCTTGTGGTTAGGATCGTTGTCCGTACATACAAAGGAGCATGATTCCATGATGAGGGAATCGCAATAGTAAGTTTTAAGAAATCACGAGTGATTCGTGGGTTCAAAGTACCACTGGGTACAAAACTGAATCAGTGCATATGGCTTAGTGCCAAATAAAGGGAACGTCCAATGCATTGCATCATACACTTGAGAACCACGGTTCAAAGCCGCTGGAAACGAGGATCACAGTACAGGGATCCGTGTTTCATCCAAGAACCCTAGCTGGAATTGTGAGATCAAAGTTCCAGAGCGGGTCTGTGACCTTTGCTACAAGGTCCCAACATCTATGCTCTTTTCGCTCTTGATTTCACTGCTCCAAGCAGTATCACCAGGTCCGACATTGTAGCTAGGGGACATGGTAGAGAAGGAAGGCACAATCAAAGCCCAAATGGGTATGATCCAAGAGCAACGTGGAAACATAGATTAGATGGCATGAGAAATTCAAGCCTTGCATCGAGAACGACCCGTTGAACCTGTTGGATAACTGGAAGTTGAGTTGGGAGATGACCCACAGTCCGACTAGAATCTTTACACAATAGGAAAGGGATTTTGATCTTCCCCTTGAGGAGCACTTTGATCTTGTGGAAGATCCAATCTATGATTGAGAACAAGATCTTGTGGAAGAGGGTATTTCCAGAGAGAAGAGTTTGAAAGCGCTTAAAATTGGATTGAGAGAAGACTAAGCATGCAATATAGAGGAAAAGAAAGAAGATGGCCTACTTGCTTGAGCCAGAACCAAAGGCCAGCAATCAGAGTTGGGGGCCTGTATCAGAGAAAGGCGGTGCCGAATGACCTTCTCCATTGTCCTTGAAGATGCTTAAATAGAATTGCTTGTAGAACGTTTGCATTTTAATTGATTTGGGATTGAAGAGGAGAGAACACCAAAGTATGAGGCTACCTAGGGTTGTCTAAGATGTTCGCTAGTATTAGGGTGTTTGAAGTTTTGAAGAGTTTGGGCCAGTCATGCTAGATCTTTGCGAATGTTTCGCGGTCCTCGAGCCTAAGGTTAAGATTTGAATTCCTAGGATTTCCAAGGTTCCAAGGATAAAAGGTAAAATGGCCAAAGAGATCTCTAGGGTTCAAACAGGCAAGGTCCAGGCTATAAAAATACGTTTGGGTTGAATAAATATGTTGTATTGTTGCATTAGGAAAATACTAGGAGTTGTTCAAAACAATATCCTTCAAAATAATTATCCTTGGAAAGCGAAACTATGTATTACTGTAGAGAGCGAAATAATGGATTTTAGTCCCACATTGAAGCATGGAAGAGTGTACGCCATGTTTAAATATGGAAATACCCTCTGCCATTGTGTTCTAAGAACCTCGGGGAGATATGTCTCATTCAGAGTATGTTAAGCATGCAATGTGCTCGTGTATGTGCCAGCGCTTGGGGTGCATTTTACACTGAAGCATTTCTATGTCACCAGTCGGAGTTGTTCATAGCGATGTTGCAAGTTTGAATCGCTTATAGCATGCTTGCAAGTCAAAGTCAACTTTTCGCTTGCAAGTCAAAGTCAACTTTACGAGACGCATGTTTCTTCGGCAACAGCGCATGAAACGTAATCCTTTTGGTGTGGACCAATTGTGACCGAGTGATATCCAATTACATGAAAAGGTGTAACTGACAAGTAGTTATATGGCGTGTAAGTCGAGGAACGAAAAGCCACAACACGTCAATGTTCAATTAGAATAACCAACGTCATGGTGACATGTTACCATCACAATTGTTGGCACAAGCTTTCTAGCTAGCAAAATCTCTTTTTTGAAGCTACTATGGTGCTTTAGATCTTGATGTATTTACGCATTTGTACAAGTGAGATTAGTGTTCGATCTTTTGTTTCTATGTATTTCAAGGACAAATTTGTTTAGAGAACTTAGACGTACACAAATTTTCATCAGTAAAAAATAAATATTGTCTGGAAAAAACACTAACTCATGTCTAGAAATAAAAAGATGTCAAGTTCTTTAAAATTTTCTATAGTGTTTGTCAAACTACAATCTTCCTGCCCTGTTTCACCAATGCAAATCTAACAATATCTAGTGGTATGTATAGGTAACTACCACACATCAAGTGGCGACCCAATCGAGGTCATGCAGCATACTGTGATGGGATTTGCATTGTACGAGAAGCAATCCATCAAATGCGCAATGCGATTTGTGAAACAGGCTCCCATTGGACCCAAATGGGGATGATGTCTTGCTGCTTACCCACATGGCCGTTAGAGGCCAATTTTGGTCCGTTTGGGAGTTTTTGGCATTTAGTTCCCATTTTCAATGATTTTTAACTAAACTTTCAATGTTTTTAATTATTCTAAAGGCAAATTTAGGATTTTGTACAGGTGATTGAGAGATGATTAGGGGTTTAATGGTGTTGTTCGAATTTAGGCAATCCAAGAAGGTTTCCTAAGTGATTTAGCCTAATTAGCAGGTTCTAAGGATGGTGTATCCTGATTTGGAAGGCTTTCTTAAGGGTTAAGGAAAATTAGGAAGACTTAGGCTAACTCAGTGAATTTAAGGTTAATTAAATAGGGTTTTTATAGCAAGGTCTAGCATGGTATTTTATGTTTGTGGTTATGGTGTATGGAGGATGGGATTACCTCGACTATGGATTATCTACCCTAGTATGGTCTCTAAAGGGGTTAGGGCATTTTGGTGGGCGAAATGGATTATCTACCCTGGTATGGTCCCTAAAGGGATTAGGGTATTTTGGTGGGCGAAAGGTAGGTTTAGGTTCTAGGGTTAGTTTAAGGAGGCAATTAGGTTTGGATCCTAAGATATAAGGGTTCGAGCACCTAGGTATTCCCTTAGCCAAAGTAGGGTGTTTACATAGGGCAGAAACAACAAGGCTATGTATCTCAACTAAGAAAAATCCAGTAAGTTTATTTGACAGAACTAAGCCAACATATCACAATGACTTCATCAAAAGCCAGCATATCACAATAACTTCATCAACATATAGTGACCATTTCCTCAAGGTGTTCTTAAATGAGTTTGTGCTCATCAGCTGATAGCAAAGCCCCATATTTAAAAATACTACGTGGTTGAAGAAGACAGTGGGATTAACGCACAATCATCTTATCTCACTTTAAACGCAAGGACAAATTTTCTCCAACCAGATGTAGGAGCAACTAATTTGTATTTTTAATTTAAGGAATGAATTTTATTTATAGTTATGGGTTAATTGGGGAAAATAATTTAAGAGGGATTAAGATGGGTATCATATATTATTTGGGGGTAATTAAAGAAAATAATTTTGATTTACTATATGGGGAACTATTTACAACATAGCGGGTTTGGCTTATTGTACAAGGAATTCTCTCCATCCAGGAGAGTCCGATGCATGAGCAATTAATTCGTATATTTAGTTTTCTATTTGATTTAAGCAATGCAATTTTACTTATGGTTAACGCAATAAAAACTTTGGAGGGATGCTCTAAAATCTAAAGGTTTCAAAATTAGTCAGACTAAGAATATATAGAATGCAAGTTTAGTAAGAATAAGAGTAGACACAAGCAATTAATTGAGATTGTTGGCTAAGAACTACCTAAAAGATATTATTTTTAACATCTTGAGTCAATGATCCATGAGAATGGAGAGATTGAGGAAAATGTCAAGCATAGAATTAGAGTTGGGTGGACAAAATGGAGATGTGCTTCCGGAATCCATCACATACCAATGAAACTGAATGAAAAATTCTATAGCATGATTGTAAGCCCGATCATGCTTTATGGAACTGAATGTTAGGTGGTCAAGAAACACATATCCATAAAATGAGTGTAGCTGAAATGAGGATGTTGAGATGGATGAGTGGTAAGATAAGTAGAATTTGGAATATTTCAGGGAACTTACAGGTGGCTCCAATCGGCGATAGATGAGGATAAATAGACTTAAGTAGATTGGTGAAACCAGTGGTTTAAAAATCGTCGAGCCGGCATGGAATCGGTCGATTCGAACAGGGAATCGGTCATCCAGTGTCGATTCTTTTGTAAACCCGAAAATCGCCTGATTCTAGAGAAGAACCGGCGATTCTGTACAGTAAATCACTGGATGACATCATGACTCGCCCGGTTGACGCCATGACTCGCCCGGTTCTGTGCACGCGCATGATGTCATGAGTCACAAGGGGTATTTTTATAAATTTTCGAGTTACAATAGGCACCTATTGTCAAAAACACGTGCTCCATCACAAACCCACACTGCTACATGTGTTTCGCGCGCGACTAGCTTTGGTAGCAGAAAACTATTTATCCTTACCAAATTTGTTCTGTGGGTTCGATGTGGGACAATTGCGCTAAGGTAATAACTCAGAAAGAAATATGATATAATTATTGAGTGACCTCTTCGTATCACAACTTAATATTTGACGTGGTGGTTAGAGTGTTGTTTTAGTGAGCTGGACGTTGCGGGATCAATTCCTGCCCAAGTGTCATCATTCCTTCACAAACAAATTAATTTTTTTCTTTTTACAAAATAATTTTTTTTTACAAAAAAAATAAAAGTTTCTTATAAAAAAATATATTTTTTGTTAAAAAAAATATAAGGTTCTTGTCAAAAAAAAAAAAACGTAATACAACAAAAAAAAAAATTCTTGTCAAAAAATAAAAGCTTATTGTAAAAAAAATATAAGGTTCTTGTAAAAAAAAAAAAAGGTAATACAACAAAATTTCTTTTTTTTGTCAAAAAATAAAAGTTTATTGTAAACAATATATAAGGTTCTTGTAAAAAAAAAAAAAGGTTCTTGTTAAAAAAAAAAAAAAAAAAGTAAATACGACGAGCATTTCTTGTAAAAAAATAAATAAAAAGTCATTGTCATAAGAAATAAAAGGTTTTTGTCAAAAAAAAAAGGATCAACTATTTATTGTAAAAAATAAGAGGTTGGATTTGTCATTAATTGTATAATAAAATAATTATAAAATGTAAACCAACAAGTTCAATTTCAGTATATAATGTTCTCCACCAATTCAAGATTTTGGTGGCCATTTTTTATCGATTAAAACCATGCTTTATTATAGTCCATCTATGATTATATATTTCATCCATGATGATTCTATGATTTTTCCTTTGTGTGATGTAAATTTAATAGTCAAAATAAGTACATACAAAGAAAAAACATCTCAATATTCACATATTGATAAAAAAATGAAAATTAATAATGTAGTACCCCGATTTCTTATTGGATTTCTAAAAAACAACATTTATAATAAATTTTAATAATTTTTTTATATTTTTTTAAAGCTTAATCCAACCTATTCGGCCGATTCCCGATCCAAATCGTCAATTCACCGATCTGGATGGGTTTTTGGGGTGCCCGATCCGGGCCACCGATCCGTTTTTTAAACCACTGGGTGAAACAAAGATCTAGAACAACACCAGTTGGGAGGGACGATTTGGTGCAAGTGGAAGGATCTAAAATGATAAAAGGAAGGCCCAAAAGGGTATAGATGGAAGTGGTAAGAAGCGATATGGTGACTTATGGCCTCACAGATAGTATGGCCCTCTTTTTTTGTTGAAAGTTTTTCTGTTTTAGAGATAGTGGGTATGGCCCTTGATAGAGCAACATGATAGAACAAGATTCATGTAGCCTCCTATCTCTTTTGTCTCCGTTTCCCCTATCTCCTAGCCAATCCATCTCAATCTCTCCCCCTCCTTCCTCTCCTCTCTTTACTTATTCCCTTTTCTTCTTCCCTCCCTTATTCCCCTCATCTCGATCCACACTTTGTGAGACATTTCTTGCTACCACCTTTTCTCCTCGCTATCTTCATCCTCACCTCTCTCCCTCTCCCTCTCCCTCCATTCACCTCCCCCCACCCCCTTCTTTCTTTCTATTCAGCCCATCTCCATCCCATCTGCTCCCTCCTCTCTATCTCTCCTCCGCCTTTCTTCTTCTTGGCACACCTCTTCCAAGCGAGCCACTGCAACCTTGGATAGGCGATCTCGAAGATCTAGCACGGTTCTGCGAAGCTTGTGAAGTTCTCGAGGCAGAAGCATCCCAAGATCCTTCTCATAAAAAAATTTATTTTTCAGTTCTCTTACTTCAAATTTTGTCTTTGCGCTCACCCCTCGCATAACTTCTCACTGTTGTACGTATTATCTTTTTCGCCTTCTGTAAGTGGATTCGCCTTATCTGAGCATCTATCATTGGGTCCTCTTTTTAACAAATACTTTCTTAACCCTAGTTTCCCTCTTGACTGCCAACACTTTCTCACTCTATACCCTCTTTTCTATGTTCTATCCCCCTCCAACTGTAATTGATGTAGCCTGAACACCCAACTTGTGGGATGGCGTCTTTTGTTTGGTCCTCATGTAATTCTTTTTACTATAAATACAAAGTCAACCATTTCCTCAAAGAAAAAAAGGATTTGAGAAGTCTCAGATGATGTGATTGTTCAAGGGCAATTTAAAAAAACAACAAATGTTATCATTTATTTTGTAAAGCGTAATTTCTTTATTTACATAAGCTTTTGGTTTCCATTTAAATAGGAGAGTAAGTGGGACTCCTAAATTGGTGGACTTGGGTGAGGTGGTGCACACAGGCCTTGGAAGAGAAAGGAAATTACATAGAGGATTAGAATGTAAGGACTGAGCAGAGCCTATTAGTTGAAGTGAGAAACTTTCCTACATTTGAGGATCTAGAGAAGAGGGGAAGGTAAGAATATGAAAGAGGGAGGTTTTCAATATATCTCTTATTTTTTCTATTGTTTATGTATAAAAGGAGATATGTCGCTTCACACGGGGATATGCGGAAATATTTTCAGACTCTAATTAAGAAGGAAAAAAAAAGAAGAAAAGGTGTTCTTCCTTGAAAAAAGCACGCATAGCTAATTGGTTCTCTCTTGCTTCCTGCTTGTTAGGTGCTTGATTTAGGGTGTTCTTGTGGCTGAAATTTTCTTCTCTATTCTCTCTTTTTGCTCTTGATTTCATTGCGTCAACAAACACCTATCCAGCTAGTATAGCCAATGTGCCTCTCGCCTGCAACTCCTCCTCCAAACGCTCATCAGGCTCCCTATGAAGCATAACTCTATTTGACCCCTCTTGTCTTGTCGTGGGTTAAAAGAGGCTGCATCCCCCCATACCAATCCATGGTACCTGACCCACCACAGCAAGCTAGGCAATGCCATTGCCCGGAAGGATTGTTGATTTGCTCCAAAATCCTTCACTATCTCGAAAAACTTCTTGCACCACTTTCTCTGCATTTTCATTGCGACTCTTTTGGCTAATATATGGGTCATAGTCCCTAACACTCAACAAAACAAGATCACCGTCTTCCTAGAGGTCCTCATTCTCAAAGGAATCACCAGAGAACCTGGCACCTTCTTCATATATATATATATATATTCTTTTTGATAAAACTTGTTCTCCAACTTGGTTTTTATCATTAGGCTCATTAGGGGCATGGCTGGAAGAACCAGCATGACCCCGCCATTGCTAACTATTCTTGAAGGGTGGGATAATAGAACGCCACCACGAGGTCCCGTAAAAGTAACTTCCATTTTGGAAGCTTAAGGCCTTGTATTTGCTCTATTCTTCGCTTACTTTCTGGGTTCATGGGCTGCAGGTTATAGTTAGGTGTCTTCCCAACTAAATTGGAAGGTCTAAAGCCTGATAGGACCATGATTTGTTGTTGCTTGGGTTTCAATTGCCCCCTCTACTTTCTTTACTCCCTCTAAATTAAAAGTATGACCATGTTATTTTATCTAATGCCCACCCCCAAAAAAACCCCATCTCGTGAATGGACTTTATCTCTTTCCACACGTGAACCTCTCTCTGTCTCTAGCCATTTTAACAAGGAGAAATGGCTAAAAAATGATCCAAAAAATCATTGGAAACCCACCAGGAATTTTTATAGCGGGTACTTCTCATTCATTGTCCGAAAATTCATCTATTGTAAATCCGGTGAGTTTTCCAGCCAATTTGAGTGCATCTAGGTCTTTATGTCACAAAATAAATGGTGGCTGGAGAAAGAGGAAAGCGTGTTTTTCTGACAACTTTGGCCATCAGAGAACACATTAGATCACCCCTCCCATTTCAGCATAGAAGAGGCTCATTTTGAGAATGATACCCCCAATCCCAATTCAATGAAATATAAAACAACTAAATATTCAAAGAGAACCAAAAGAAAATAGAGACCCACATTCACATAACGAGGAGAAAAAAGAAGAAGAAGAAGCAAACTAGTTTCAAGATTGAAAAGTGCCAACCATCTGAGAGTTTGGTTTTAGATAAAGAAGAGCCCCTAGGATTTGATGCTTAATTCTTTGAAGCCAAAGAGGTAGATGAAATGGAAAGGCTATACTTTTCATATCCTTATGTCTGCGATTGTTGAGGGACTTCGAGGTCAATAGCAAAGACTTCTACTTGTTTATCAGAAACATCATCGATCCTCTTCCCGCCAAGAGGACTCTGACTTAGAGGCCCTCATTGCTCTATCTTCAGATCTTTGTAAATAGTCATCTCTCTCTCCTCCATTTTTTTCTGTTCTCTCTATCTCTGAGGATCACCCACTCCAAATTCCTTATTGCACACCCTTCTACAACCCTACACCATGAAAAGACCATCACCACCCCTCTTCATGGGGATCTGGAGTAAAACCCAAAAACAGAAATGAGCACTCAGGCCTCTTAAACTTGGAAGAGGACACTCCGTAGCACAAATACAGAGAGAGAGGGAGAGGTGATCACCGGTGGAAGAGTGAGAGGAAAAGGTTTACTTTGGTGGTGGGTATTAGACAAATGAAAAGGGGTATAATAGTAATTTGGAGGCGGTGTAAAAAGTTGATGGGGTTTGGTATCCGGTTTTTGCAACTTTAAGGGGTCCATCAGGTTTTTAGATACTTCAAGGGGTTCATAGGGTCTTTTGGGACGAAAAATATAGAAACGCGGGTATACGTCTTTTTTCCTTTTATTTTTTATCGTATAATAACAAGCTTGTTTTTTTATGCAACAAATTCATTTACTCAAACACCGCACCAGAACTTCAAAAATACAAACAATCTAGACAGACGTTCACACTAAAGGAAATCTATTTATGTACAAAAACACTGAAGTACTCAAGTAAGAAAGTAAATGTAAATTCTAGAGAGAGATGCATCATTCACTATTAAGAAAATACATCTACGAGAAAGGAGCAGGAATACAAAGATGTTAGAGCAATACGCCTAGACTCTAAGAAAGATGCATTTCATTTCACATAACATTTAGTATCTTATATTGAGCAATTATACTGATACATCACCCTTTCCTACCTTTCTATTTTTATTTGTCGGTATATTTAGGTAAATAAGGAGAGAGAAGAGATATTCTACAAAGAAATACTCAAATAAGAAAGTAAACTTAATTCTAAAGAGAGATGCATCATTCACTATTAAGAAAATACATCTACGAGAGAGAGGAAGCAGGAATACAAAAGAGGTTAGAGCAATACGCCTAGACTATAGAGAAAGATGCCTTTCATTTGACATAACCTTTGGTATCTTGTATTGAGCAATTGTACTGATACATCACCCTTTCCTACCTTTCTAGTTTTAGTTGCCGATATATTTAGGTAAATAAGGAGAGAGGAGATTATCAAATATTTCTTTTCAGATTCTACAAAGAAGTACTCAAGTAAGAAAGTAAACCTAGATTCTAGAGAGAGATGCATCATTCACTATCCATAGTGCACATGGTAATGATACATCCCCCCATTCCTTTTTATTTTATATTAAGAGGGAGAATTAGGCACATCATCACCCGAGCCTTATCCCAACTATTTGGGGACATCTATATTAATCATGTTTTGCCATCTGTTCTATCAAGGGTCATAACTTCAGTCAAACCATAAGCCACCATACCTCTTCTAACTATTTCTATCCATATCCTTTTGAGCCTTCCATTTGAACTAAATCACCCCTCCAAACCGATATTGATCTAAGTCCACACTGCATATAGTTAACCCTATGTCTATTTTCTTAATCACCTATTGGAGTCACCCCTAAGTTCCCTTGGATATATTCATTCTGAATTCTAGTGTTTCTTGTTTTGCTACTCATCTATCTTAACACCCTCATCTCAGCTACACTCATTCTATGAATATGTTGCTTCTTGACCACACAACATTTACCTATAAAGCGTAGCTAGTCTTACAGTCTTCCTAGGTAGAATTACGTAAATAAGAAGATAAAAAATTATCTTACATTTTCTCTTAGATTCTAAGTAGGTCAAGTTGTTTTTCCAATTGATTGGGTAAAATAATTGTATGATTGGGTTAGGATTAGGGTTGGTGTTGGGGTTAGGGTTATAAAATGAGATAACATAATTTCAAAGGAACCTGTTTCAATTTCAAAATTTTAAAATAGTTCCTTATAGTTCATATATTTCACTCAAGTCCTACTTTTTTAGTCTATATAGCAATTTTTTTTTTTTTTTATTCTTATATCGAATTTAGCTCATATTTGGTATGTTCTTATTTCTCACTATCATGGTATTTTTGAAATTTTATTAAAAATAATTTTAAAACAATAAATGATCAAACTACACCTAATTTATTTATTTCAAATTTTTTGTGTGCTTTTATAGGTGCATTGACGGTGAGGAGTATTAACATACCAAATTTGACTTTAATCCATATAAAGAAACATTCTAATAAAGTTTGCAAAATAAAAAGGATTTTTCTATAAATTTCCCTAATTTCCATCAAAAAAACAAAATATCTAACTTTTTATTGAGCAAAATGTCTTGGAGGTTGTGTCCACCTCGAAGCATTGAACCACTTTATCATTTTCTTTTTTATTCTCTTGCTATGAGTGCTTTTGGTGTAGTAGATATTCCAATTTGGATCAAGGAGGTTGAGGGTTCAAGTCATTAAAGTTCGTCAATTAGCTACTCTTAAAAGGGTTGTATATCATGAGACCTTTATTTTTGGTACAAGGTACAGGGAGGTCACAGTTTCCAACTGATTTCAAATCCAAGAGTATCTTGTATAAAAAGTAAATGTCTCCTTATATTCATTTTATTTTTTTAATAATATTGAAACCAAAAAGAACCCGAGGAAACAAAAAAAAGAAGAAAAAAAGAAAATGTGGTATTCTTTGATCAATGCTTTGAAGAGATCATAGAGCTAGGTTTCTTTGATCAATGTTTTGAAGAGATCATAGAGCTATGTACCTTTTTTGCCATCAGCACCTCCAAATTTTCGGGGCCGAAAGTCCATTAGCAAAGTCACTGGAAGAATAGACTTGGATCTTGGATACCTAGGTTGAATCCACTCATTGTTGCATTTTACATCTCTCTCTTGTATACCACAAAATTACAAAACGAATCATGCTTTGATTGTCCGACTGATTTTGAAACAAAGAATTTTGCCGCATTTTCAGCGGGAAATCGACTCTTCACTGCTTACGGCCAGAAAATAGCGCGCAGATGCTATGGATTCAAAATGAGAAAAACATGCTTTCTCCGGTGCCCATACAGGCATGGATCTGGAAAACTCATCCATTCCAGTGCCTGATGAGGAGAAATGAGAAGAAGGGAAAGAAGAAAAAAATGAGGAGAAGGGAAAGAAGAAAAAGACGAGAAAGGAGCAATTATTTACGCAAATTTGACACACGCCACCGCTTCTCTGGTTTTGATGCTTTTTGCATCTTAGCTGGATGAGAGAGAGAGGAAGACGGTGTCGTAAAAACCAAGAGGGCGATAGCAAATGGCGGAGCGAGGGGGATGGTGCAGTAGAGAGAGACACTGGCTTTATCTTGTAATAAATGTGCCGAGGATTCATCGTTATCCATCAACTTTATAAAGAAAGACAGAGAGAGAGAGAGAGAGAGAGAGAGAGAGAGAGAGCTTCGTGTAGAGAACGCTGTAAATATTTCGTCTATGATTGCAGAGAGAGCGCTTCGTGTAAAGAACGCTGTGTAAAATTCCCCTCTAAATATTTTGGTTGTTATACCGGTTTTTTAAACCGTTATCACAAAAAAATCCGAAATAAGCCGTTATTATTCTAATGGACGAGCCCTCAAAATTTGGTCAGATTTTTAATCATCGGACCGCTTGGTAATCAATTGCCCATTCACGCATCGAAGGTCTTTTTTTTCACTAGTTTCTTCATTCCCACCGATCCAATATGAATGGATGGCTAAGGCTAATATGGTTCCAGTCATAATGTCATGTCTAAATACTATTTTATTTTTAATTGTTTTTTTAGGTTTGCTTCATTGAGATGATGAGACATTAAATTTCATATTCATATTAATTGTAAAAAAGAATTAAAATAAAATACTTTGAGACCACAAATCTAAATCAAATGGTCAATGTGGCTGAAGCCATCCCAACTATCCGAATGGATCGAATGGTTGGGAGATGAAGAACATAACTTAAATGTAAAGGGTGGGGATGTATATTAAACTTTCCTGGGTTTATACACAAAATACATTTTCATTCAAAACAAAGTTATTTTCTTCTTTGAAGCATTGCTAAAAAAAAAATTTATAATAATTGGGTTTAGTTGTGTGATTTTAAAAGTATCGTAGCAACAATTCCTTTAAAACATGGCCCAATAGGGTATACTCTCTTTACTTCTTTGTACCATTATTCTCAAGTACTACTCCTCTTATCCTTTCCATTTCACGTCCTGGCTCTCCTTCATCCAGCCAATATTCCATGTTTTTACATATTATCTTTTGCTATCGCCAGCCCCACTCTAAATGGAGCTTTGGATTTCACTTGAAAACACTATTGTCAAAAGACTGCAAATGTGAGCATATTATCCAATCTCAGAGTATTTTAGGATCTCATATTTTGAAATGCAATCTCTAACCTAAAAAAATGTTTGAATTACATAGGAATCCAAGTATGAAATGAGAGTCAAGTTCTTAAAAGGCAAGATCTAAGTGTACATAAACTCGAAATCCATCTTTTTTTAGGTAATCTCATAATTTTTAGGTAATCTGAAAAGGGAAAGTAGCTTTCCATGTTCCCCCTACATCATAAAAGTTCTATCCTCCCTTTTATCCAATCGTCTATTTTTTAATAGAGGGTTAAGATTGCCCTAATCACAATGTCACATCTACACTGTTTTATTTTTAATTTTTTTTTCTATAAACTGTTTGATCGCCAAATTTTGGATGTCCATTCCTCTATTAGACTCGCACTAATGAAAAATATAAAAAATAATATTTTTAATAAAATAAAATGACCTTTAAAAGTTTCAAGAGGTATTTTGATCATTATTTTTTATCGAAAAATTATTGTTGATATTTTTTATAAGTGCGCCACAATGAGAAAATGGCACGTACCAAATTTCATATTCAAAAAAATTGTATTAAAAAAACTAAAAATAAAATACTTTGAGACGTCATATCTAAGATGAAACAATGAGGAGCTCTCTTGATAAAAAATGGATGGCTGGATGATAAAGAGAGGATAGAACTTCTATGTTGTAAAACATAGAAAGCTTTCCCATCTCATAATTATTAAATAAATCTCAAACTTTCAGATAAAAAAAAATCCTCCGCTCCAACACTTTTATGCTACAGAGCAAATGTAAAATTTATTCCTATGAGCACGTTATTCACGCTTTTCACTCTTAATTGCTCTACAATCTCTCCCGACATGTTTAGAGCGCCTATAAATGGGTGGCAGCCCGACACTAGAACTAGGCCACGGGCCACAAAATGTGGCACGAGGGCAGAATCTGGCTGGGTCTGGCCACCCAAGGTCTAGGCTGACCTGTGCCTCTTCAACTAGTTCCAGCCAGGGATCAGGCTGGCCCTATAGGGACCAGGACGGGCTTGGGACAAAGGCAAGTCCAGCCCAGGCCTAGCAGGTAGCCAGCCCTAAAAGAGCCTAGCAGTGTTGAAACACTCCAATACATAACGCGGCTAAAAGAGGCACTTAACACTGCACTTGCGGCCAAAGGCTCCCATTTTGAGAGAGAGCTAATGACAGTTCACAGAACAACTAAATCTTGGCTCCCATTATGAGAGAGACCAAAATTTCAGAGAGTGGAGGGACCACAATGCAACAAAACAAGAGACCACAGTGTAGTAAAATATCAGAGAAGAGAGGGAGCACACAACAACAAAATATCATAGCAAGAGAAAAACCACATTATACCGAAATAGAAATACTGGCATTATGAGTTAAACGTGTATATGATTCACGAATGACATGATAAAAGGAAAGGTATATCAAAAGGAAGAACCATGTCTTTACTAATAAGTTGAGCCTGAGACTCGCTTAATGCAAACCAGGTCACCAAGCTCATTTATTTCCCAAAAAGAGAAATTCATGGATACGAGTTTGCAGTATTTCTTATGAAACAAAATCTACAGCAAAATTCATGGCCGATTCCAGTAAATATAGAAAATTCCCAATTAATTGCTTTTTAGTTATATTGGACTGGCTGAGAGAAGGGGGTGGGGGGCATTTGGGGTTGTAGGCTTGTAGCCAAGGCATTTCATGCCAAAAAGCAATTTTGAGCTGTATATTTGTGAAAGCATTTTGTTCATGACAGAGGGAGTGTTTTTCTTTAAAGACAGAAACGGTAACTAGAAATGACATGAAAGATGCTTGCCTCTTCCAGGCCAGAAAGTAAAGTTCAGATATTGTCAAGAATCCAACCTGTGTGTGTGTGTGTGTGTGTGTGAGAGAGAGAGAGAGAGAGAGAGAGAGAGAGCAATCTTTTCAGGGGCATTTGGGGGCATCAAGCTTCGGGCAAGCTCGGGCAGTGTATTTGTTGAAGAGATCATTCATGGCATGCTGGAACTCCTCTTCCATCTTGATCTCCTCCTCGTGATGCTTTTGTTTGAGTTCCTTGCGCCTATTTGCCTGATCGAGCAAGAGTTTGTCTCTCTCTGCTTCATACTCTTGTATGTCTTTCTCTTGGTTGTCAAGAATGTTCATCACCTTTGAAATCTCTTCTCGCCTGTCAAATAAAAGAATGAGAGTTTTCCCTCAATGTAATCCAAGAAAAATTAAACCACAACGATACTTAGTACTCATAAACTATAAATAAAACAAAGCAAGATAAAAAAACATGCATATAAACGTGCTCCTGTAATATCAAACAGGTCAACTAGAACACCTACATGCATGGGGGGGAGGAGGGGGGGACAGAGAGAGAGAGAGAGATTCAAGTACTTATGTTCGCCAGCTTCATTGCTGCCCAAGATGTTGGCGTGCTTGGCTTGTTCGAGCTCATTGACATGCGTCTTCCTGCTCTGCATCTGAAGTTCCTGAAGAGCATTCTCTTGCAAGCACATGTTCACTTGCATTTTATCCTGGAGAACCTTTATCTGTTCCTTGTAGAATTTCTCTTGAGCATCCATCTGACGAGTACATCAAAACATCATATAATCAGTTGCTAATCATTTATTCTCTTTACTTCCACAAAATTCAAAAGAATAGGAAATACTTGTGTGCAAGTGTGTGAGAGAGTTTATTCTTCAATTGAAACTAATAAGATTAAATCCCATATGTATAAACCACAAGAGAGAGAGAGAGATTTCTTTTAGGGTGGCACAGGCGACCTCTTTTTGTTTTTCCTCATAGAGGTCTTTGGCTTTTTGTCTAAATGTTTTGTTCTCCTCATCTTTAAGACGCAGTCTTCGCCCCACATCAGATACAGTTTCTTGTAAAGCCTTCGACTCCATCTGCACTTTGGCAACTCTATGTTTGTAGAAAATCAATTGTTGGTTATCCTCACTCATTTGTTTCATAGGCCCAACTACCATTTCCTGATACGATCGCATATCAAATTTCAACCTAGATTTACCTATGTCAAAGGTGGCTCAAATCAGCATCGCAGCAAAGAAAAGGAAACACAAAACAGAAAATCATATTCCTTTCCTCTAACCATATGTCAAGACAAACCCCTACGTGTGTGTGTGTACGTGTGTGTGTGTGTGTTAACAAAACTCTCTATTTCCACAGTCACCACAACCTCAAGGTTGCAATGATAAATACCTGCCAATTAAGCTATGACCCCCAAATTTGGAAACTCTCAAAATTAGTTCTCACAAGTTTTCAGCATGAAGGCTACACAAATCACATGAAAGCTGTAATCCAATGGACTGTGGAGAACCATGATCCACTAGGAGCAGTGAGAACCACCCTTGATCAGGGTATGACCAAATGGCAGATCCAATTATCTCACCATCATGGCTACTGATTCAATAGACCATGGTTTTGCATTGTCCATTGGATAAAAGTAAACTAACCCCGGTCACAAAACCAACAATTACTGGCGCATACAAACAAAAACATTGGCACTGCTTTCCATAAATTTTTTCTTTTTGCTTACAGGGTACAAGATCAACGAAACATGTATACAATACATGAAGAGTCAAGACAGAACAAACCATGGCAGTGGCGGTTAAAGAGATCCATATCCTCGTTTGTGGCCAAATAGCCATACAATACACGCTTTCCACCAGGATAATAGAGAACACGGCGTCGGTCCCATCCATCCCTATCTCTCCCCTCTTCCATGAAATGCTTGTGCAAGCGCTCAGCATCCAAATAACCAATGGCCGAAGGATCAAATATAAGAACACTTAACCCACGATGACCTTGAGGACCATATGAATGCTTAGCCTTTGAGGGCATGTATGCTTTGAAATACTCGACAAGCTCTGCATTCCCCATTCCAAGCCACTAAAACACACAAAAATGGAAAAGTATAAAAGATCCATGCAAAAAAGCAAGTCATAGAACAAGAACAAGGTTTTAAAACTCAGCCAAGTTGTCTAGGAACCTTGCCGAGCCGAGACCTAGACCTGGGCACAAACTCAAACACATTAAAAAAATATAATATTTATAATATTTTTTTATTTTCCCTTTTTTTTGGATTTTTGGGAATTGTTTCCAATAAATCAATATTTTCCAAATTCCATATTTTATGCATTTTTTCCCATCTTTTTTGGACTTTTATGTCGCTTATTGTTTAGTTTGCGTTTTCCTTTTTTTTAACATTTTTTTTTTTAATTTAGCCCTTTTGGTCAAGTACATGACTTGGGCTAGTCCATTCTCCGCTTAGGCAGGGCCCAGTCCCAAACCGAAGCCAATCTTTGACACACTGAATAAGAATGAATAAAATATCCATGTGAAGAACATCCAAAATGAACCAATCTTTTGTGAAGAAGAAAATAAAATGTTATAATAAAATAAAGAATTTGAAATTTACGATGTCAATAGCCAAAAATGAGTACTAGGCACATAGGCCATAAAATATTTATCAACCATGTCAACAAGTATTGGGAAATAAGTGTAATATCGATCACTAACTATTAATTACTTAACCATATCCCAATAAAAAGAATAAAAGTGACTTGTACGAAGAAGCTAGGAATATAAGAAGAAAAATCCATATAAAGTTTAATTTCGATTTCAGCTTACATTTTTCCACAATAGCTTCTTATTCTTCCTGAATTATCTTTATAGAACAGTCTTAAATGTAGATGTATGAATTCCTAAGAATACATCCAACTTATAGTTTACAATGACAGCTCATCAGTTACTAGCAACAATGCGCTCTTGCCAATTCAGAATCACACACAAGATTACATATGTGTTTCAAAGTGTTGGACAAACTCTTGAATTTCCATGAATGGTAAGCAAGGAACTATGAAAGGATCAAACAAAATAGTAGAATCCAAGGAAACACAATTCTTACCAGCTAGCTAGTCAAATGCTAAAAATAAATATTATAAATGAACACAAGTGATACCAACAAGGGATATGAGTGCATGTCCCTTGAGCATGATAGAAAACTGGATAAACAAGATGGGCAGCAGAGCAGCAGATAAAGACTCTTGAAACATAAAAACCATGGAAGAAGAGGAGACACAACAGAAAAATAAAACAGATCTAACTAGCATGGAAAGAGGCCAAAAATCCAAAAGTACGGATTACATACAGAATATTATAGGCGTTTATCATCACATATGAATTCATCAAGGCACTAGCAGACATATGAGTTTAACATATAAGCTTAGAGCAGTCGCATATTAAATATCTCAACTAGAAAAGAAATAGTATCTCCACCAAAATAACTAAAACACAATTTTTGTAAAGGGAATGTATAGTGCAATTTAAATGACTATTGAGAACCATGGGCCAAATGGATCACCACCCATGAAACAGTCATGGAGAGAGAGAGAGTGGGGTGCAACCCACCATCCACTCTATGCCCTGCTGGGGTGGGTCCAACTCTCCATCAGTTCAATTTAAGGTGATGACCAATTCAATTTGGTTTCTCCATTTCCCATTGGATTATAGTATAATTTTCCCTTCTGATAAAGCTCTATCAACAGTAGTGATGAAAGCATACAGTGTCATTCTCGTCTCGATCAAGTTGAGTGTTTTGGATGATAACCATCGGAGGCCAAACTATTTCGTGGTCAGCAACCTCATCACGAAGCCCTTTCCACTTTCCAAACAATTCCCCAGCTGGTATAGCCGATGTGCCCCTCCTCTGCAACTCCTCTTCCAAGAGCTCAGCAAACTTCCTATGAAGCCTAACTCTATTTGCCCCCTTTGTCTTGGCATGGGTCACAAGCGGCTGCATACCTGTGTACCAATCAATGGCACCTATCCCACCATAGCAAGCCGGGCAATGCCATTGCCTTGAAGATTCATTGATTTCCTCCACGCTCAACTCATCCATCTTTTCAAAGAACTTCTTGCACCACTTGCTCTTCTTCAGTTCACTGTGGCTCTTTTGACTAACATCGGAGTCATAGTTCCCATCACTCAACATTTCATCTTCGCTATCTTCATCGAGGTCCTCATTCTCAGAGGAATTACCAGAGAACCTGACGTCGTCTTCATCTGAATTTCTATTTTCTTCCTTGATTAAACTTGTTTCTCCAACTTGGGTTTTATCATTAGGCTTGTTGGGAGTCTGGCTCGATGAACCAGCCCGATTCCGCCATTGCCAACCATTTTGTAGAGGTGGGGTAATAACAGATGGAGGACCCATATAAGCAGCACTCCAATTCGAAGCCTGAGACCTTGGATTTCCTCTATTGTTAACTTGCTTTTTGGGGTCATGGGTTTGTTGGTGCCAGTTATAGTTCGGTGCCCTCGCAGCTAAATTAGAGGGTCGAGGGCCTGATTGGACCATGTTTTGTAGTGACTTTGGTTTCCTGGATTTTCTTCCTGGCACCTCCCACACACCCTCATCATCTTGGATATCAGCCGAAAACTCAGATGCATCGGCCCAACTTGTTTCAGAGCCTCTAGAAGAGGACCCCAGCTCCTGAGTTCCTGTAGGGCCTTTTGTCTTTGGAGATGAATTAGCACCACCAGGGTTGCCATTCTTCTTTGGCGGCATACTCGTATTCCTGAAGACATAAGGCATATAAAGTCCATATTAAAGGGATTTAATTTTTGATAATCTATAAATCTCCTCTCTCTCTCTTCTCACACACACACACACATCTCTCTCTCACTCTCTCACACATATGAACACACACACACACACACATACACACAATCCATAATGCAATAATCAAACCAACAGCAATACAAGAATGAGAGCATGACAGCATACACAAATCTCAATTGGCACACTCATTTGTGCCTAAGAAAAAGTCCAAAACATTGTAAGAAGCCTTAATACAAAAAGCCTTAATTTGGAAGAAAATATTAGAAAGAAGTTCTACATCAAAGCCATTTACCCGATGGCAATAGAAAAACTGTTTAAACACCACACCAGAACTTCAATTCTGGACATAAATTTATGCAAACAGAAGTTTGATTATATACCATAAACCTTACACTAACTCAGTAATATAAACATGGTAAATACATAGAAGTTTATTTAATCAAGGAAAATTTATCCAAATAGCTATGAGAGAGGAACTATTTCACATTCAACTCATATCTTTTTATTTAATTTTAAAAAACCCATCAAAAGACACATGATCATGAGTTAGAATAGTTTCAATTGCGTAAAATGTTTAATAATTCATCTCTTGTGGATATTTTGATAAATTTGCCTTTAATCAATAGCATTAGAAGCAGAGCTTCAAAAGCAGACCATAAATTTAAAGTTCAAATAAATAAGACAAAACGAGCACATTCATTTGGAGTAAATATAGCCGATTCTAAATAACAAGACCTTTTTTAATCGGTCAAACAACAATCTTATTCTCAACAAACAATCCGAATAGCTATTCTGTTATGTGTTAAGTAAACATCATCAGAATCACCACACAAAGACCAGAGCAGAGGATGAAAGATCTAAAGCTTTGCTACCATAAACATATTCACCTGTGAGGAAATGGAATCCAATATAGCTTTATCAAGAGCCTGTTTTCAACTAATACTACATTAGAACTGTATAACAGTGAGCAGCATTGACATTGCTCAATTGAAACTTCAAATAGTTAGACAAAAAAAGTAATTGATAATGATATGAAACATATTTCTATTTATATGGTCAAACGATCAAATATAATACCAAGAAAATGGAAAATGATATTTGGATATTTTTTATGAACACATACGTTGGACTGGTGTTAAAGAACACGAACATGTGTCGGGACTCAAGTCCTGCGTCTGATGAAGACTCGGCCGAGTCCAAACAAAGAAAACAATAAAATATTGAGAATTGATAAGGTCAGTAGATTCCCAAGTGTTTGGTGCCAAGACCAGTCAACTCGATGGAGTCCGACTCATCTGAGTCAAACCTACCAAGTTTTCCAACATTGCATCAAGGGTTCAGCGTGACATGACTATATGACCCAAAAAAGTCTCATCTAATTCCATTTGAAGAAGATCTTGATGCATCATCCACTTTTGTAATTTCTTTATTCAACTTTTCCCCTATCAACAATGATAGCAGTATATTTCAACAATTATTATATGGGCCATTGGGCTGCCTAGGATAGATGTTACAATGAAAATACACAAATCCCAATCTTAAAAAAATCAACTATCCATAATGGAATTACCTGATCTAGACTAGGAACAGGTGGTGACCAACCCAGTTTCCTGTTAAAAATACGAATTCCCATGGAACCGTCCGGTTCTATCAAGGAACCGGGGGATCTACAATCTGTTGCCCACATATTTTATTTTTATTATTTTTGGTTTTTTTTTTTTTTTTTTTAACTGATTCTCGCGAGATATGCAATTTAGTTGAAGTGGAAAGCTCTAAAAGGGAAAGGAAAAGGCCCCAAAAGACATGGATTGAAGTACTGCGAAGAGATATAATGACTTATGGTCTTCCTGATGGTATGGCCCTTGGTAAAGCAGGATACCAATAGCCAGCTCCAAATAGTTGGTATAAGGCTTGGATGATGACGATGATGATTGACCGATTTTCATGGGTGAGAATATGAGAATCGGACAGCTCAACAAGCTGGTAACGATTTTCTGATTTGGACAGGTTTTCCAGGTGGCAGGGTCACCCGACCAATACAGGTTTTAAAACACTATCTTAATAGTTACTTATGCCCAGAATGTGTCACCAACGACTCAAGATCAAAAGAATAAATAAGAACAAATAAAATGATAAATCCAAGAATAATATGACAGCAATACATTCATGCAACTTACCATTCAATTGCCAAATAACAGTAGAGCGCCACAATGAAACCGATAGAAGTCATATATGACAATTTGTACTTTGTAGCATATTCAAATGATCCCCTCTGTTAATCTCTCTCTTCTCTCTTTCTCTCTCATTGCAGCTTAACATTCAATTGCGAAATCACAGTTTAACCGCTCTCTCTCACTCACTCACTCACACACACACACACACACAGTTGAAGAAACAAAGTAAAACTTAACAGACCATAAAGATACATAGAGTGAACAATCCAAAAAAAATATCATTCTAACTAGTAAGGCCACTTGATTGTGATGAATGATCTTAATGCTCCAGGTCCTAATGGATGCCATTTCCAACCAAAATTTCAGATAACAAAGAATTCTGCATAAAACCTCCTAAAGATTTCCAAAAAAGCAAGCGAAATGAAAGAAAAAGGGAAGAAAATAGAAGAAAAGATAAAAAAAAAGAAAAAAAGAAACATAAGGCTAAATCTGTGAAGCATAATGGCTATATCAAGAAAAACAAATGGACGCCATGGGCTCACAGCTCTCTCTCTCTCTCTCTCTCTCTCTCTACTCTACTCTCGTCTCT